TTCCTTATCACATCCAGGGCGGGATGAATCATTGCCACAGACATGGAGTCATCTGGAAAGAAGGGAAGAAGCTGGGGCGGAGTCTGGCTCTGGCTGCGTACTGGCCAGGTAAGCTGCCTCGAAAATGGCTTGATCTCCATTTAAGGGATCTAGACTTGCTGCTTGCCTTAATTGTTCAAGCCACCTGCATTCTCCTTGCAGGGCTTGGGTAATCAGCTGGCAGTCAGTCTTGATTTCAGCATTTGCGGTGGGATGGGAGCGCCGGTTTTCTTCACGATCAGTGGAGGGACAATTGTGTAAGACTCAGGAAGTGACGATAGCATCTCCTCCACTGGTGCTGCAGCCTCACAGTCCAAGATGGGAATTCCACAGACAGCTCCCACTTGAGTACTGGGATGCTGAAAAAGTGAGATCCCAGTTCTGTGGAAGGAGTCTGTTGCTGTGGTGGAGCTGGGATTGTGGTCTGCAGCCACAGCAGTGAACAGACTACCAGGAAACTTTAGAAGACAGATATATTCTCATCCTTGAAGTGTTGGCATGCACTGTTTGCCATGCTGGCAGACATTGCCAACACTGCCGTAGGAGATGGACAATCTAAGTTTAAAGACGGTAGCTACTAGCTCACTTTTCCACGTCTGTGCATGTGTCAAACCAGTGTAGATTGGTGAAGGCGTTTCTCAAGCTTTGTTGTGGTGCAAACTTTCTGTTCCTTCACGGCAACGAATATTGCTGTCATATTGCAGCTGTACTGTGCCAAAATAAGAGTAGCTGGATGAACGGAAACTTTCTCTGAGTGAATTTTAATGTTTGGACCATCCAATATCATGGACATCAGAGCCAATACTGATTCAGGCACAGATTTTGCTTGGCCTCCTGGGTTAAATGATCCAGAGAACTAGGGGCCACCAAATTAAATTAATGGGCAGCAGGTTTAAAACAAATAAAAGGAAGTTCTTCTTCACACAATGCACAGTCAACTTGTGGAACTCCTTGCCTGAGGAGGTTTGTGAAGGCTAGGACTACAACAGGGTTTAAAAAAGAACTGGATAGATTCATGGAGGTTAAGTCCATTAATGGCTATTAGGGTAAGGAATGGTATCCCTAGACTCTGTTTGTCAGGGGGTGGTGATGGATGGCAGGAGAGAGATCACTTGATCATTATCTGTTAGGTTCACTCCCTCTGGGGCACCTGGCATTGGCCACTGTCGGTAGACAGGATACTAGGCTGGATGGACCTTTGGTCTGGCCCAGTACGGCCATTCTTATGTTCTTAGGTTCTTATAAACTGTGTTTTCATTTGGCACATGTCCGTTCAAATAATTTTTGCTGTTTGGGACAGGTGAAGTGCATCTTCGTCACAGTCTTCCTCACACGCTTTTCGGAGGGCATGCCAGTATCCTGGTTGAAGGCAAGGAGCACATCATGTCTTTCTTTGCATGCTTGGAGATCTGCGATGTGTGATTTTTAGTTCAGTGCTGTGAATGTCACCCCCAGCTGTCCTAGTCTAGCTGTATAGACCCTGGTGAGGTCTGCTAATTTGAATGAAGATGTGGCTCCAGTCTTTAGTTTTGTCTCTTCAATGTATGCTATCAGTTCAGCAAAGGTAATCCCGTGTGACATCTTCTCTGTGTTGCTTTGCTCAGTTTTCTTCTCCCTGACTTTGTTGTAGAGAGACACCAAACAACTTGCATGATACTTTGCCTTTTGGGCCACTAAGTCCCCTGCACTTAATTTTGCAAGCAAGCACTGGTCTTGCAGCTGCAGTGCACACTTGACTATCAATGCCCAGGGTAGAAGCTTCATGGAGGTCTTCTGATGGCATGTTTGTTTCACAAATAAAGTACGCTTCTTTTCTTGGAGGTCCTTTGTGTTGGTTGCTGAAATGTGTGTATTTCCTCAGCAGTTCCTCAGGATGGTCCACAGCTTTCTCAGCTCTTTGCAGTTTGGTCCTGTTAAATTGTTGGAGTTTGATAGCCAGATCTAACATGCTCTCGTTTTGATTCTGCTGGATTAGTCAACTCTGCACCTGGGTCCTCCTGACAAAGCACACACTTGCCCCCATCGGTAGAGGAATGGGATGTCTCTGCTCATGGACCTGTCTCCCGAAGATTGCATCTTTTTGACACATTTGGCGCACCAGTAATAGCCAATAGTAATCGAATATCTTTCGCTACTGCAAACAATTAGTATTCTCACCAATCACCAAGCAGCTTTCACACAACCGTAGTAGCATCTGAAAGAAAAAAGAGAAATGTGATTAAATTCGGCCAAGGGCACACTCACAATCAAAATATGTTCTTACACCAATTGTATGGTCATGTTGGAGGAAAACCAAGAATATATCCCTTGCGCATCCAGCTGTAGAACAACGTTATTTGCTGATCGTGACAATGTTGTTAAAATGACAGCCGCAGCCAACATGCCATGAGTTGGCGATGGCCCCATACCTGAAATTCTTTATTAGGTCAGGCCCTAAGACTGTGGCAAATGCCATGCTTATAGAATCAAACCCACAATTCCATCATCTTGTTGCACAAATGTGATTGGCTATTCTGTGGCCCGGCCCTCTGGCCAAGTCACCAGAACGTTCAAACCCCTTCCGTGGTAGCACAAGGCCCAACCGAAAGCCCAAGACAGATACCCACCCTGGTAGTTATTCTGCCCCTCTTGGGGGGGTCCCTGAAGTTCTTGCTTCTTGGCCTCTCCGGAGCTTCCCATGTCTTGCTTTCTCCCCAGCAGGATTCCCCGACTACCTCCCTTCCCCAGGGGCTCTGGCAGCTTCCCTGAGGGATCTCCCTGCTCCCTGTAGGCCCTAGCCCAAGCCTCCCCCACAGGTGCCTACCCTCCTCCCTATGGGTCTCACTTCCAGAACTCTGGCCCCAACACTTGGCCCCTTGTTCTAGGGGCTCACAACAGGAGTTAGCTCTACTCCAGTGGCTCTGCCAGTCCCAAACTGCTGGGCCTTCCCCTGCAGGAGATTCCTGCCTCCTCTCTCCCCACGGAGTTCCCTCAGGCTGCTCATAAGGCCTGGGTGACTAATGGCTCATCACTAGCTCTGCCCCCTCTGGCCGGGAGACAATCTGCCAGGCAATCTCCCTACAGGGAGGGCATGTCTCTGATTGGGTTTTTTCTCCTTCTCTAGCAGATGATGGGGTTTCAGCCCGTCCCAGGAGACTGGGAGACTCGCTGCACTTCTGCTTTCATCTCAGTATGCCCTGCTCAATGCCATTCTCAGTTTGTGATATGGAAAGACGTCGTGATCTACTACTAACATCTCTACGCTACGCGTATTTAGAGATACTAGGGAAAGAAATCCCCCTTTCACGCAAAGAGAGGGGAACCCCTTCCAGTGTTGGAGCTGTTGCAGGGCCCTGAGAATGGAGCTCTAGTCCAGCATTTCTCAAATACGGCCACTATGGCTGCATGCGGCCACCAGGGGCTTTTCTTGTGGCCACAGCTGCCTGGGCTGTGATGGGGGGCAGAGGGGGGCTTCAGTAGTGGTTAGGCCCTGGCCCCCGTCTGGAGACACAAAAGCTGGAGGAGCAGGCAGCCCGTGAGTTCCTCACCTTCCTGGGGTTGGGGTTCAGCCCTTCGGTGATGGGTGGCAGGCTCCAGCCATGGGGCTTCAGGCTCCATTCCTTGGCCACATGGTGGTGGGCTTTGACCCCAATCTCACCTCCCCCCATCACCCTGGCCCTCGCTGCCTCCCCCAGTGCCCCATCGCCACTGTACCCACCTCCCCATCCAGGGCTTAATTTGTAGCCAGGTTTGCCAGGGCTGAGTAAGTCTGCTGTGAAAAGTGACATTCGTATGTTTGTTAATATCCCTTTTCACAGCAGACTTAGTCTCTAGCAAGTCTTAAAAAAAGCAACTAAAAAGGCAAAAGAAACACCGGGCCTGGTCTACACTAACCCCCCAAGTCGAAGTAAGGTACGCAACTTCAGCTACGTGAATAACGTAGCTGAAGTCGACATACCTTACTTCGCGCTTACCGCGGTTCAGACGCGGTCCACACGCGGCAGGCAGGCTCCCTCGTCGACTCCGCGGTACTCCTCTCGTTGAGCTGGAGTACCGCAGTCGACGGCGAGCACTTCCTGGTTCGATTTATCGCGTCCAGACCAGACGCGATAAATCGAACCAGGAAGTTCGATTTCCAGCCGCCGAACTAGCGGCTAAGTATAGACCAGCCCCAAGAAAAAAGACAAGAACGTGCAAAGTCCCTGATTGGTGTTTCTATTCTGTTTAGGGCCAGTAAAGAATAGAGACACCTGTACGTTACTTTTATTATTGAGTCTGCAAAATAAATAAATAAAATCCTCCATAAATAAATCACAATGATGTGGACACGCATAGGTGCAGATTTACTTGGTTTTTTCCCTAAAGTGAATGACCTATTTTAGGAAAAATGGTCAGCAAGAGATGGGGGCCACACCCGGAAGCCACCAGCACGTTTGTTGTGAGAACCCCTGCGTCTAGTCCCTGGGTGTTGAGCATCAGGGTCACCCCCTGAGATCTTCATCCCCCGAGATTTAGAGCTCACCCCCCGAGAGATCCCCCCCCCCCGAGATTTAGGGCTCACCCCCTGAGATCTCCCCCCCCCGAGATTTAGGGCTCACCCCCTGAGATCTTCCCCCCGAGATTTAGGGCTCACCCCCTGAGATCTTCATCCCCCGAGATTTAGGGCTCACCCCCTGAGATCTTCCCGGCCTCCCGTTGCCAGGCTGCGGGGCGCACCGCCCCCCCAGCCTCGCCCGCCCCTCCGGGCCCCCGGGACAGCCGCCGTCTCCCCTCCAAGCGCCGGCCCCGCCGGAGCCTGCTTAGCTCGCGCGCTCTGCCGCCCTGCTCTGCCGCGCCGCCTGCAGCTCCCGCCCTTCGCCGCCAGAGGCCGCTGCGGGGCAGCGCGGAGCCCGCCAGGGGGCGGGGCCAGGCGGCCGCAGCCTATTGGCTGCCAGCGGGAAGGGGCGGGGCCCCTCCTGGTTCCTGCCCCGCCCCGTTTGGCGGCGCGGCGGTTGGCGCCTCCGCTGTCAGTGTCCGAGCGTGCGGCGGCGGCGGCAGCAGCGCTTCAGCCCGCTCCGGAGCTGGGCGGCGAGAGCGGGGTAACCGGTCGCCGGGGACGGGGGGTCCGCCCGAGGGGAGACACCTCTGCCGGGGGAGGGGCCTCGGGAGAAACTACCGGGCGCGGGGGAGCGACGGCGAGTCTGGTGCTGAGAGGGCTGCCCGGGAGAGACCATTGCGGAGGGGGGGGAAGGCTGGCCCGGCCTGGGAGAAACCACTACTAGGGGTCAAGGGGTGGACTGGGTGAGACCATTCCTGCTGGGGGGAGGCGGGGAAGGGCTAGCCCTGGGGGAAACCATTGGTCAAGAAAGCGGGGTCATGGGTTAGCCTGAGTGAGACTATTGCGGAGGGGGGACGGGTTAAGGGTTAGTGTGGGTGAGACCATTGCTGAGGGGGGAAAGGAGGGAGAGGTTAAGGGTTAGCCTGGGGGGAAACCATTGCTCAGGGGGGGGGGGGGGGGGGGAGGGTGGGCGGGGTGGGGGGTTAGGGGGGGGGGGAAGTGGTGGGGGAAGGGGGAGAGGTTAAAGGTTAGCCTGGGTGAGACCATTGCTGAGGGGATAGGGGGAGGTTAGTTAGTGTGGGTGAGACCATTGCTGAGGGGGAAAAGGGGTTAAGAGTTGGCCTGGGTGAGACCACTGGTATGTGGGGGAGGGGCAAGCCTGGGAGGAATTGTTAGGGCTGTGGAGGGTGGGGTAGGGATTCTGAGCAGAGGGACTAGAACCAGCATTAATGATCCGGACCTGTCCCAGGACACCCCAGGCCTGCCGCAAGAGAGCTGCCCCAGGAGCAACGAGGACTAATCCTGGGAGAAGCCAGGCCTACTGGATGAGCAGACTGTCCCGGGAGAAGCCTGGAGTTGATAGGCGCTAGGTCTGATGAGTGAGAGCTATCCTGACTGCTGCTGGGATTTGTTATGTTCTGCTCGGACATACTCTCTTGGGAAAATCCGTGATTGAACGGATGCTGTTGATTTAAACTGGGATAAAAGGAAAAAAATCCTTCCGTAGCCTATCGTATCCAACAGGCCTGGGATAGATCATCACTCAACTCTAGAAAGAGAGCTGTGGTGGAAATAAATTGGGCCAAACGAAGAGAGATTCTGGCAATTTTTTGAGTCAGAGAAGAGTTGCTGATAAAATAAAGTGATCTGGAAATCCCAACAATAAACTGAGATTTGCTGAAGTGCATAAAAAGAAATCTTGATCAAAACTGAGTGAAAACCAAAATTTGGATTAAATGGTTCAGAGACTTTTTGGATTAAACTGAGCAAACTGCCTTGGGTAAAGATACTAACCCTGGGAGAGAGCAGACAAGAAAAACCTATTTCAGGTGGTAAAACTACTGCAGTTTTGTGCTGATGAGGTGGGAATAGAGGAACGGATAATCGGTGTTCTACCACATTTTTTTTTAAGGGAGTGCTAGCAAGAAGCAAAGAAAGGGCTAGGTTACCTGATACCTGGCAGAGTCCAGGTCTGTTAGTCTCCAGCTGAATAAGGTGTCCCTGTTTGGCATGTTTTTTATATTTTGTACTGTAATAGAGGATTGTGGCCTGTGGGGCTTTTAAACACTTTATTTAATTCTGGGTTTTTAAAAATTATTCTCTGCATCTCTAAAAGAATGTGCCATAGTGTCTTTGCAAATATCTTGCTCTTTAAAGGTATCTGATTAAAATGCATGTTGTTTGAAATTTAAATTAAAGCGTTAAGTTGTCACATGCATAGACATTTAGTTGACCAAAACCAAATCATTTTAAACAAGTTTGGTTTATTCTAGTCTTGCTAAATGGTTTGGAATCTGCAAGTGGGTTGAAGCTGGGCTTGACTGCCAATAGTTAAAACTTGGATGCTGCAGCATTTTGAGCCCTAGAGACTCTGTTGGTAAATCATACATGAAATTTTTTTTTTTTTTTACTTTTTAATACCAAAAATGTTAGATATTTTTATCTTAACTAGTCTTTAAAAATACAAAACTTGAGAGAACTTTCTTCAGGGCTAGGGAGGCTAATTAAAAATTGTTTTATTTGGAGATAAATTTAATTGTGAGGCTGGTTTTTGGGAGAAACCATAGACTTAGGGCAAAATTTCAGCTTATGCTGGAGGGGGGGGAAAGAACCTCAAAGTATCTCCATCCTTTACTTCTGTAGCCTTTGGAATTAATCGGGCACCGCTCCTGGGATATCAGACACTTTACTTCCTACACCATTTTGGGATATAAAGGTGCAGAGTGAACTAAGAAACTTGAACATATCCATTGGGGACTGATGCTGAGGAGGAGCTGACATACAAAGGGATAAAGGCCGTAATATTACACAGAAATGGATGTGTGGTCAAGAGTAGCAGTGTGGATCCTGTGTGGTTTTCTTCTGCACCAAGGACAGGGGGAGAGGCCCCCAGGTACCCATTTGGATGAAACTGCAATTGCAGGTAAGGAAAAGGCTTCAGAAATGTACTATTTTTATTTCCCCTCCTTCCCAGCGATGAGGAAAACATTAGAGCAAACTTACTGCTCTGTGAAACTTGTTGGTAGTCACAGGTAGGGCCTATATGCTGTTAGCTTTGATTAGTTCTTTGACAGAAGATAATACATTGCACGGGATTGGTTTGTCACATGGCGAAACTTAGAATGTTAAAGTTTTCAGCTTCTTCAGTAAGGGGTGTCCTCAAGAATATATAACGTTAGGATAGTGCAGACCCTGTAATAAATGACACACCCTGTTGGTGGAAAAATGCTCATCAGTTTTGAGAATCCTGCTCATGAGTTAGATTCAACTGATGTGTCGGAGTCTGGGTGGCACATGGCACTTTCTCTGAAGCCCATTGCTTTCAGAGAGGTTTAAGATGACTAAACAACAATCTGTTTATTTCAAAACGGATGCCAACTATTCACCAACTGCGGATTATTTCACTGTTTATTGTGGATACTGACTTAATCTGTTTTGGAAATTTCAGATTTAATGTAGTTTTTGGTTGTTTTTTGTTTTAACGCCACCTCTCCAATGAATGTAAAGAGCACTGTTCCAAAATATAAGGGGGGAAGATAAAAAGGAGAAATTGCATACTTCGCATATTAAAATCACGAGTCTAAAAATATTTTTTTCAATTTTGCCCTATTGACATTCTCGGGGAAATAAGCATTTGATCATGTCTTGGCTGGGAGCAAGAGAATGAAAGTGTGACAGCTGAATTTTTTGCTGTCTAGTCCCGTTTTCCCCCCACCCCCCGCCCCCAAATCTGTCTGTCTCAGTCTGGTTCCCAGTAGACAAATGTTGGCCTTGCATAAGCACTTGACTCCTTTGCTGACAGCTTGATAGTCTTAGTAGAGGAATAGGTCATTTTTTGGACTGATACACCTCCACTCCGAGTGATTGTCCCTGTATGTCAGGATTGAGGTATAGTAGAGAAATTTCTACTGTTGCTGCTCTTACTGTCACTATCTGTAGATAAACAGTGGCCTTCAGTATTCAGGGCTGCCAGTCCTGCACCTTTCACCAGCACTGAACAGGAAAATAAAAGGGTATCCTATGAGCACCGGGAGACAAAAATATAGTTGATTTACATAGCAGAAAAAGTTGTTGCAAAAATGCTCTCAGGTTGGGTGCAGGCCAGCTTTTAACAGCCCAAGCATAACTTCCCTCTTGAAAGCATCCCATCCGGCAGTGTCATCAGCATCTGGGTGGATCCTATAGCTGGAGGTACCCAAAAGCATTAATTGCATTCAGAAATGGTTTGAACCTGATCAGAAAACTCATGAATGCAGGTTTCCAAATAAGAAATACTTCATCAGTTAAGGAGTGAAGATAAGGGTCCCTGGAATAAACGGAGGAATGGCTGATTTATGAG